ACTTTCTCCATTTGTAGACAGTCTGTCTTACCGTGGGCACATGAACATCAAGGCTTTTGGAGATACTTTTGTAACCCTTTCCAGCTTCATGCAAGTCAACAATTCTTGATCGTAGGTCTTCTGAGAGCTCTTTTCTGCGAGGCATGGTTCACATCAGACAGTGCTTCTTGAAACCAGTAAACCCAAAAACAGGTGTGTGTTTTTTAAGGGCAGGACAGCTGTCAGCAACACATCCAATATCATCACACCGATTGGAGTCAAGGTTGGCTCACTCCTGGCTCCAATTAGCTCTGGGAGAAGTCAATAAGCTAGGGCCTCACATACTTTTTCCTCCCTGCACTGTGAATATTTACATGTTATGTGCAATTAAACCATGGCAACATCTAATGTTTTGTGTAGTACTATGTTCAGCAGACTGTGTTTTTCTATTTTTTGTGACTTAGATGACGTTCAGAGCACATTTTATACCCAATTCATGCAAAACTCCACGTAATCCTAAGGGGTTCACATACTTTTTCTTGCAACTGTATATGCAGGCTAGAAGAATATCCTTTTGCCTCTTTTGGAATCGCCAGACCCTCTGTCTTAATGTCCCATCTACCAACCTGCTTCACAGTCAGTGACATTCATGGCATAGCTGTGAAGGAGCAGGTCTTGAGAGAGGAAGGAGCATCTCAGACTTGGTTATTCCCACCCTTCTAAAGGCCAGAAAGTCCACTTCCCGCAATGTTTATCTTATTTAAAAAGCATACTTCCACTGGCGTCGGTAGAAGGTCTATCCTTCTTGCAGTCAGGGCAGGACCTGAATTTTTGTACCCTATAAGGACACGTTTTGGCTTTGGCCATTCTGTTCCAGAGACTACTAGCATCTAACAGTCTGGTGAAGGCTTTTATGTAAGGTGTTGCTTACATTGCTTCACCTTCTCCGACATTGGTAACACCGTGAAACCCTTCCCCTGTGCCTTCAAAAGCCGTCTCTTGAATTTGGTAGATTCCTTTGCTGGGTCATATATGTAAAGTGGCTCTACTGGCAGACATTACCTCCACAAGAAGGGTGCCTTTGCTGTACAGAGCCTCTTTCCAGGCAAGGCACATTCTCCTAGATCTGTTGATCTGTTGGCACTTTTTGAGCATTTCAGCATCAGACTTCTGTTGCATAGCTGTGTAAGGCTGCTACTTGGTCCTCTGTCCACACACTTTACTGGGTGGATGTTCAGGCCTCTGCCGATGCCAGTCTTGGCAACAAGGTGCTGCAGTCCATAGTTTTAAGGTCATTTTCAGCTTTTTGTTTTGGGGGTCTATTGGCAGGTTGTGCCAGGCAGGGGCGGACTGACAACTCATGGGGCCCCCGGGAAATAGGGGATCATGGGGCCCCTGTGTCCTTGCCCAAACTCAAAAAAGCCTATGAAAAAGGTACTAGGGGTATCTCATGGGGCCCCCTACTGACCCCGGGCCTTCGAGTTGGAAACAGTGCCCGAGTTTCCAAATGGTCAGTCCGCCCCTGGTGCCAGGTTACACTCCCATCATTTTACTACTTTAGGACATACCACCCATTATGATTCAAGACCAGTGTCCTGTACTGTACAATAAAGAACCTTGATTTTTTTTTTACGTACCTCTAAAATCCTTTTTCTTGAAGTACAGGACACAGGAAGGACCCTCCCCTCCATGACTATGGTTCTAACATTGCTTGCTACTAAACAAAGGCTTGCCTGATTGGGAAGGTTATATGAGGGTGTGTTAAGGCTTTACTGCACAAAAGGTTTTCAAAAACGTTTTAAGATCTTTGCAAGGGTTAACCGGTACCTCCTGACATTTGTAAAAGCTCTTGATTGCCTACTTGCAAGGCACAACCTTGGCTAACAATCATAGATGAATCTCACCTTTTTAAGCTCTGGGATTTCTCTTCCCTTGAAACCTGTGTTTTTTATTCATTGTTAGAGATGGTTTCCTCTTGGCAGGGGGACAGATGACTTAACTTTCATTGAAGCTACTGTTTATAGAATCAACATGGTATGCAATCTGGAAAAAAAATTTCAAAGGGAATATGCAAATATTGTGTACACCCAGGAAACACAGAGACAATGTCATACAGTTAGGTGTTTCCCTGAGTCTACATTGTGGCACTAGTTACTGGTGAATCCTTGGTAATAAAGTCATCTTAATGTGTTTGTAAAGCTGAGGAACAATGCATTGAGAAACAATGTATGAACACTGGGACATTTTATGTTGCATTCTTATTTAACAGACCGCACACTCGTCATGTGTCTTTCTTGGTCAAAGGTGATTGGTAGAAAAAGGGGTGTGTGTGTGTGTGTGTGTGTGTGTGTGTGTGTGTGTGTGAACCCCTAGAATAAAAGATCTATAGAAAACTGCATCAATGAACTATGGCCCAACCAAATGACAATTACATGGACCTCACAAGTGTTGATTTGTTCATGCTTAAAAGACTGCAAATGGGCTAAAAATGGATTGCCAAATACTTTAGGCCATTACGCCATTAGGCAGATAGTTATGCCGTATATATAAACTGAATGTCTCTGCAGCACTGCTTTCTTCAGAGATCAGAGAAAAGGTGTGCTATAAAATCATTGGATATGTGATGTAGTATCTTAAGGGTGTCTGCAGGCATCATTTAGATTTGGAAACCCTCCCAATGGCTGCTGCAGGTGTGCTTACCTGGAAAAGTAAGTGCAGAGATTTCACAATAGATTTAGAAAAATGTAAGAAATTGTCAGGAAGTTAAACTCTCCACAATTGGAGAAATGACAACAAATAGTATCTCTGCAATCAGTGGTGTAACTATAGGCCACAAAGCTGCTCTGGGGCCCAAAGGTGAGACCGAGCCCTACTAGGGAGTGTGTTGAGGCAACTTTAAACATGGAAAATCAGTGTACATGTAAAGATAAGATTCAGTACTGTATTCGTAACCCTGACCAGAGCTTTGTTTAGTCACAGATCTCCTTTGTTTCCCCAGAGTAGATACTGTATATTACCTTCAGAGCTTCTGGTCATCCTGGCCAAGCCTCTGGTATGCATACCTATTGCAGTCTTCCGAAGGCTAAAAAATCCCAGCCTAAAAACTGAAGACATTTTGAGGTTTTTAATTCTGAAAAAAAAGAGCCACAGTTTTAAATGTTGTATTTGAGTTAAGGGTAATTTGTGCATAGGAGTACTAACAATTGTGTAATATATAATTAAAATAATTATATATTTTTTATACTAAACTACAGTAGTCAGCACTTGCTGGCTGGGGTGGTAGAAGGGCATTACATTTTAAACAAAGCTCCAAAAAAAGAGTTGATGCTGAGAAATGCTGGCGAGCTGTTGATTAAAAGAGAAGTTTTGTTATATTTTCCTAGGTAGATACAGCATCTGTCCCCCTCCAACTCGAAGGGTGAGAACTCTGTGTGATCACATGACATCTCTGTGAGCAGACAGCAGCGACTGAAAGTCGGTCTGCTCTGCCCAACCGCGCTCACTGGGGCGCTGGGCTGTGGAGGAGGAGAGAGCGGCTGGCTCAGGCTCTCAGTAGCTCCTTGAGAAGCTGAGCTAGATGCCACTGTAGACTCTGGGGTGGATCCCAACTTTAAAGTCAGGATCTTTTCCCAGCCTGGACCAGCGTGTGCCGCTGCAAACGGGTCACAGGAGTGCAGAACGGACTGCATTCCTGTGATCCACTGGACAAGTACAGCCAAAAGAGCTTTGGCTGTACTTTTTTAAAGTTAATTCCTGGCACTGTTGCCGCTGATGTTACAACTTTTTATCCGCAGCACTAATATCCAATAGGGCATGGACTATGCAGACAGGTCTCCCCCTTACTGTCCTAGAACTAGTCATAATTTGTTAAAATCAATAACAATATTGTCTTATTTTACACTGCTGGCTCCACAGAGGGTGCTGACCCATGGATTAAAATTTTGCTATGGGGTGCCATGAATTACAATTATATCCAATATTGCACATGCCCTTGTCTGCAATCTATATGCACATTTAACCATGTTTTGTCTCTGTAAATGCTGTAGAATACAAGTTCAGAACATAACTGTTGATCCTGTACGTAGTCACATATGCCTAACTTTTAGAAAAAAATTAAACATGTATGTTCATAGTCTTTATAGAATAAATAGATTTTAGGTAAAACCACTTTTTACAATAGAGGAACTCTTGAAATAATTTTCATGTCTCTGGGGTACCTCCCTAATCCAATTCATCAGGGTTGGTGGGTCATAATGCCATCTTTACAGATGCTTAGAGGATAAGTTCACCTTTGGGAACATATTTTTAGGGTGTAACATGTATCCAAAGCTGCAGCCGCCCGTTTTCCCGCTGTGGAGTGCCGTGGTAGTTCATTGATTCTTCCTGTCAGTATATCTGCTTGCTCGTATATCCCATATGGGCAAGCAGATAAACTGACAGATGTGCAGGAGACCTGCATAGGACCAGTGATCTACTGGGTTTCTGCAACCAAAAATAATACATTTACCTGCAAAAAAAGTGCATTGTTTTTGGTCAAAAGGTGAACTTTAAAAGATCATTGAAGTCATGCAGCTGGTTCTGAGAAGTGGCCCAGATGGGCAAAGCGCTCTTGATTGAAGACTTGGGTAAGTATACCGAGAGGGGTTGTGGAGGAAGCATACTGCTAGCTATACTGCATTAGGATAAAAAATGTTTAGAACCACTCTAAAGTTGTGCTTGAAGGACAGACACAAAAAAGTCCAGTATTTAATTTTTAGAGGTCAGCTAACTGACGTATGACACAGCACCCAAGCTTTAGAAGCAGAAACTCAATTCTAAATAAGTTATCACTTTTGATTTATACTGTCATTAAAACAAAATATATTTCCCTGAATGAAAATGTAACTTTTTTTGTTTTCTTTTCTAAGCGCTTAACAATGGGCCTTAACTGCAGGTAGAAGACACCTCTTCAGCACAGTAAAACATGTAAACGAAGACCAGAAGAACGCAGAAGCTTCCTGTGACTGAATATATCCATAATCATGGCCCAATCCAAGTCCAGCGGATCCTATTATGCCCTCACTGCCATCGGAGTAGGGCTGTTAGTGCTTGGCGTAGTGATGGCTGTATGGAACCTGGTCCCTGGATTTGGCAGCAACGACAATCCTGGGCCTTCCCAAGGGAATAGCAGCAATCCAGAGACCCAAGGTGGAATCAATCTCAAGAGTAAGACTTTCTCTGTGGCCTATGTCTTGGTGGGTTCAGGTATAGCGCTTCTTTTGTTGGCAATCTGCTTGAGTATACGAAGCAAACGGAAACGGCGCCCAAGCATGGAAAGCGTACATGTCGTCCCACAGGAAGTGACCATTTCCCGGGTAATGAGAAGTAAGTAAAAATTAACCAGAAAAACAAGTATGACCAATCCTTATATACTTGCTAACAAAAGAATAATATGTTGATGAGCAACAAAATGTTTTTACTCTGAATTTAGAAGCAAGATCTGCTAAAGTCGCCTATTTTTACTTGGGTATTGTTAACTAGTTACACCTCAGGGCGTGAGTAGAATATCATCCCTTCAACTCATCCATAATGATTACTTAGCAATATTCTTGCTGCTACTGCCAAATGACACACGTGAGCAAAGATATGACAACACTGCTTCCTAGTCCTTCTCCCAACTCCATTGTGTCACGTTTATGGCTGCATTTCTTTCTTTGATGTTCTTTTTAAAGGGCCTCTGTTTGTTAAATCAAAAACAACCACAATAAAGTTGCAGGGCTAAAGTGTAGTCACCTAGGGATTCCAGCACATACTCTTCCTGCAGCAGCCTCCAAAGCACCACAGTCATGGCCAAACCCGAATGTTCTCACAGGCAAAGCTCTAGAACTTCATGATAGTGCTGAAGCTTGTCCATCTGTCCCTGCCTCCTGCTCAATTCAAATTGCCAATGAGGCTGCCCATCATAGCATGGGGCCACTGGGAATGTGTGGAGTATTTTATTGACATCAACCAGGGTTCCATGAAACCATAGGGCAGGAGTCTTCAAATGTGTTAAACAAAGGGCCAATTTACTGTCCTTCAGACTTTAGGAGGGCCAGTGGCTCACTATGGCCAATGAGGGTAGAAAATGCCTTGTTCTTTGTGGTCAGTGGAAGTAAAACATTTTTACATAGTGCATGTGGTTAGTTGGAGGAGGGATAGTGCACGTTGGTATCGGTAGAAGGAATAGTGTCCCATTGTTGTAGTCAGTGATAGGAATAGTGCCCCATCATTAGTATCAATGGGAAGAATAGTGTCCCATCATTGGTGCCAGTGGGAGGGACAGTTCCCCATTGGCATTTGTCAGTGATGGGAATAGTGCCCCATCATTAGTGTCAATGGGAAGAATAGTGTCCCATCATTGGTGCCACTGGGAGGGACAGTTCCCCATTGGCGTTTGTCAGTGATGGGAATAGTACACCATTATTGTTAACAATGGGAGAAATAGTGCATTGTCTGTGATGTCAGCAGGGGGAATATAAAAAAAAAAAAATGTTCCAATATGTACATCAGTGGAAGGAAATACAACCTATCATTGGTGTTAGTGGAAGGAATAGGGCCCCACTGTTGTCGTCAATGAGAGGAATTATGCCCTACTGTCGGTGGAAAGGATGATGCCTCTTCTATGGTGTCAGTAGGAGGAAATAATGTCTCATATCATTGAGAGGACTAGTGCCCCAAGGGCCAGATAAAGGCAAGCAAAGGGCTATATTCTACTCTCAGGCCACCGTCTGGCCACACTGCTCTAGGGTACATTCAGAAGTTACTCGGGGTTCCTCCCTGGACTAGTAAGCCTAGGGCACCTGCCCCTTTTTCCATTATATTTAACATGTCTCCACCAGCACCACATAGTGATTAGTAGATTCTGCTGATTTTAACAGATCAGATTTAAAGAACCTAATTGATGTGCAGCTGGCTTTAGAAAAAAAATTTATTATTGTAGCAAATGCTGGAGCCTACGTGGGCCCTGAGCAGGGGCAGACTGACCATTTGGAAACTCGGGCACTGCCCGAGGGCCCGGGGTCAGTAGAGGGCCCCATGAGATGCCCCTGGTACCTTTTTCATAGGCTTTTTTGAGTTTGGGCAAGGACACGGGCCCCATGATCCCCTATTGCCCGGGGGCCCCATGAGTTGTCAGTCCGCACCTGGCCCTGAGGCAGAAAAACCACCTGAGCCCTCAGGTTCAAAACACACAATATGTGAATTGTAGGTGTGGCTAAAAACTGGAAGATTTCTGTCTTGCAGCACTGCGCTAGTAGGGCATGCAGTACTGGAAAATGATATAACCCAATGGCAGTATATAATTCACACTCGGGCCGCCGTTCCCCCTGATCTCCCCGGCACTCTAAATAGATGTGGTAGATTTTGTAGCTGAGGTGCCATGGCCAGTGTTGGAGTATGAATTCCTGAGCAATCTTGATCAGCAGGTGATGACACATCCTGAGAATGTTCCTCTCTCTCTCTCTCTGGGCTCTGGCGGCATGTGGAGGCTTGTATGGGAACTGGCCGTACAGCATTGCACGGGAGATCAGCCTCCCGAACTCACAAACCTTTTGAAGGGTAAAGTGACAGCTAGAGAGTGTTGACAGTCGGCCTTAATTGAATTACACCCATGCTGTACAAATAGTTTAACTACACTGGAAAAATGTATATGGAGCAACAAGTCTCCAAAATTCTGGGGTTCTGTACAATGCAGACAATTTTATATTTATAGGAAAGCTTTAATTTGGTAAAGTTGCTTTTTAAAAAATCCCCTGTCCCTAAAGTCACATACTCTCCATAGGAACCATGCAGGCAGTGCTAGAAATGCCTTGTAGCTTTGTGGTTCCCTTTGGGCCACACAGTGGACCTGCCAGGATCTTGGACAGGTGAGGAGTAGACTTTGAAAGCGGTGTAATATACCACAGTTATCCTTTTTATATAATGCCGTCACCCCCTTTCCCCCCCCCTTCCTTCCCCAAGTTGCATGGACCGGTCAAGATCTTAGACAGGGAAGTAGAAGACCTTTTGATGGTGTAGTACAGCATAGTTGTTATCCTTATAGGGTGAACCTACAGTCAAATTTTAAAGCCCAACTCCAGGAAACATTTAAGTTTCTTGTTTAGGTCTGGGGTCACTAAAGGTTGTAAAGGCTCAAGGTTTTTTACCTTTATGCTGGAATGTAAAAACCCTTCTGTGTGCAGCAGTACCCCCAGCCCCCTAATAATACTTATCTGAGCTCCATCCAGCGATGAGCAGCAACTTTCCGGGGACTCTTGCTACTTGTTGGCTCACTGGCTGTGATTGACAGTAACAGCCAATAGCTCCTGCTGCTATCTCAGCCAATGAGGAGAGAGCGGGGGACGGGGCTGAGCCACACTAATGTGTGAATGGACACACCGAGCAGCTGCTCGGGAGCGAGCCTGCTCAGGTGCCCCCTTAGCAAGCAGCTTACTATGGAGGAACTTGGCAGGAGAGAGGGGCTAGGAGCACAGCTGGGGAATCCAAGAACAGGAGGATCAGGGCTGCTCTGTGCAAAACCATTGCACAGAGCAGGTAAGAATGACTTTTTTTTTTTTTTTTTTTTTTTGTTTTTTAAAGAAAAATATCTGCCTTTTTAATATCACTTTTAAAAGTAGATTACTTACCCCTATCCTTTGGTCCTCCACACTGCTAGACCAGTCCCTGCAAGGTTTTCTCTCCTATGCTCTAGTGGTCCAAGGTCCTAATGTCATCTAGACCCATGCAAATACATACCAAACTGAAAATGAATGTAGGTGAGTGTCCTCGAACATATTTTTATTCATTGATCATTTATGTACACTGGCTTAAAAGGTATACGTCCACATCAACCACACTGTAAATGTTGATGCTGGTGTGTACTTATTTTTATTGTTGAAAATTCATGTACACTGTCAGTTTGGTATTTACCTTGTACTCAGATAATTTAGCATGCAGCATCAGATTTTTGTGTTTCTCCAAGCGCAGAAAGATTTCTTCACATACAATGCAGGGTACACAGCCTTGCATTGGGTGTGAGGATGCCAAGGGACAGTCCACTGACGGAACATGCGGAACGCCATGGGGGGGGGGGGGGGTGGAGGATTGAGTGAGAACAGTTTTTACACTGCCCTAGACAAAATGAGCAGTTAACCCTTGCAGTACAGGTGCAGCCCCTCTGCAAGGGAGAGTTTTCAGATTTCCCAGAGTTGGATTTAACATAACCTTGTTTTAATAGTCTGGCTTGGGAGAATAGATAAAAAATAATGGGCTTAAAGCCATTTTTTGTTTTTTTAAATGCAGTGGGACTGTGTCCACACTGCATGGGTTAACCACTTGTTTTTTGTCTAGAGGTGAACGCAGAGCTTATACTCAGCCGATCCTTTGATCCTCTGGAAAACCGTACTCCCCCACATCCAACGGTGGACCGTTCCGGCTGTCCTCACGTCCAGAGCCAGTCGGGAACAGTCCATGCACAAGACCACTAGACTGTGGGGGGGCAGGAGCAGCACAGACGGGTCTTGTGTTTGGGAGGATTGGTGGATTAGGTGCATATACTGTAGGAAGGATAATATGTCCACTTCCTTCATCGTCATAGCTCACACTGAAAGATCGCTTTTCCTAAGGAAGAAGCTTTGTATGGATGAGATCATGACCGATCCTGTCCCTCCCAGTTTCCTGAGCTTCTTTCTAAGGTCTAAGCTAGGCACTCCTGTTCCTCCAGGCAGTTAACCCTCCTCCAGGAAGCTAAAAAGAGTTTCAGCGTGCTGGAATGCCAGGAAGGGCAGGCAGTGTCAAGGCAGCCAGAAATTTGTTGTGGCACATTCTGTACCTCAGTCATGAGCTGGAGATAATCTGTAGGGCAAATGTTAGTACCATGGCTGTAGACCGATCTGACCTTGGCAGATGGGGAGACACTCACAGATATGTAGTAAACCGTGTTCTTAGTGTTTTTTGGGTTTTTTTTTGTTTTTTTTCTATTTTAGCGTTCTCTTTTTAGAAAAAAACAAGAGTCTTCTTTCATCTTACAGCCTCCATTTGCGGCCATATGAAATATTCAGTTCAAAAGGGTCACCCTTAAGACTTAATAGATGTGTGGTTAGTTGTTGTCTGTTTCCCCACTGGGACAATCTGTTCCCTATCCAGTACTGGCCACAAACAGACCATTCTAAGCTGGGTTCAGCCTGCAGTGCTGACATTGATGAGAACCTAGAAAAGGGTGAGGATACCTTCATCAATGTGCTAATGAATGTTTTAAATAAAACCTTTACATTTTCATTGCATTCCTTATTTTAGATCCAGTGACCATCATCACTGGGTATATGTGCTTCTCTATGCAATGCAAACAGATCATGGCTGGTGAGAGG